ATATATATATATATATATATATGATACACCCAAAAGGAGGAAAAGAAGAAAGAGGGGGCCATGTCTCCCAACATACTTCTTACATCCCATACCTTGTCCCCTTTTTATTTAATATTTTAATTATCCTTTGTAGTGTACTCGGAAGCAATCAATACACTTAGAAATCAACTAATAAACAACTTAAAACCAACCATAGTTTTATTAGTTAGTTATTAGTTATTTCATATAAATTCTATATCAAAATATAAAACTTATATGATTAATGTCACACATAACAAATTAAGTGTATATTTAAAACAATGGAAACAATAATATGTATTAAATACATATTAGACTTAAATACTAGTCAAAGTATATAACAAATATTTTATTATTATCGAAAATTATTATTTTGATTAAATAATAATTTGCATGACAATTGTTTGGATTGAAATAATGGAATCACATCCGATCGTACGATTGAGGTTAATTTGCTTGTACGTGTGTGATCCTTTAGGATCGTGTACCATTAGCCGTATCGTCAAGTTTAGTGTCATCGGCATAGATCCAACAATCCCCCACTTGCACATGGACATGATCTCTAAACTCACGAGCTTCTTATCAATGTTACATGCAATAATGCTATTAACCCTTTGTTATGGGTATGCCATTGAAACATGAGACATGGACCGAATTATTCTCACATGGTGTTCAACTATTCAGTTACTCGATCGAGATTCAAAATGATAAAGCAAACACTGTTGAACGAGTTAACTTAGTTTGAGCATGGCCATGCATTTTCATCACTTAAGAATCATCGAGGGGTCCAAAGATGTCATTCTCCCATCAAATGAAAGGAAGAAATTCCATCTTGACTACACATGCTTTCGATATGTATCTTATCATGTCTAATATTGGTCTTTATAACTGCTTGTTAAATCAACGTTTGACCAAATTAAGATATGACATTCCTCACACGAAAAACCAATATGTATATCAGGTCTAGGGATAATTATCTCTTTGCTCGAGATTCACTTATGATATCGATCCATGAAGTGATCTCGAAAGTGGGTCTTATCCAATGTTTGTTTTCTAACAAACATATGCGAATTTTGGTTGCAACTATTGCCTACTTTCATCATCTATGAAGGTCAACCAACCAATTACTATTAGTCAATTGCGAGATAATCCCACAATCTTTAAGATGATCACTGAAACTGGCTCAAGCATTCACCACCACGATCTGATCGAATGTTCTTTATTGTTTTTCCAAGCTGATGCTGAACTTTACTTTGAAATTCTTTAAATATTTGAAATGTTTCATATTTATGTCTAAGCAAGTAAATATAACCAAATCTACTGAAGTCATCAGTAAATGTTATGAAGTATTGTTCACCGCCGGGAGACATTGTTCTAAAAGGCTCACATACATCAGTATGTATGAGTCCCAAAAGATCCGAAGCCCTTTCACCAATACCGGTAAAAGGGGCTTTTGTCATCTTACCAATCAAACAACACTTGCATGTATCAAATGACTCAGAGTCATTTGATTCCAAAATTCCATCCTTTTGAAGTTTGGTTATGCGATTTTTGTTTATGTGACCAAGGTGACAATGTCATAGATAAGTTTGATTTAAGTCATACTTAAATTTTTTGGTGTTTGCGGTGTAAATAGAACTATAATTAGATGAACCAAGCAAAACAATCTCATATATGCCATTGTGAGGTCGTGCCTCAAAATAAACAATATCACTTTTGGAAATTGAAATATTGCAATTATAAAATCCAAAAGAGTAACCCGATTCACATAGTTTTGAAGCGGAAATAATATTCCTAGTTAAACTAGGTACAAAACAACGATTGTCTAATATCAAATACATGCCATTAGGTAACAACAACTCAAAAGAACTTATGGCTTTGACTACAACTTTTGCTCCATTGCTGACATGGAGATCCATTTCATTAGACTTGAGCTCCCTACTTCTTTTGAGCCCCTGCACATTATTGCAAATGTGAGTTCCACTACCAGTATCAAATACCCAGGATTTAGAAGTAAAACTAAAAAGTTCTATTACATAGATACCTTAGTCAATGTATATTATTGACATTTAGGTGCACATTATTGACATATTTAATTTTTTTTTCTCTTATAAATGAATTTAGAATGCACATATATATTTATTTTTATTTAAATCAATGTATATAAATTTCTGTGTACATGACAATTGAAAAAATAAATCATCAAAAATCAATCAATATATATTAAAATTTCTCAATCAATCAATATATCAATATATATTTAAAATATATTAAAATCAGACCAAGAGGTGGTTCAATAAAAAAATTTCAATCATATTTATCTTTCTCTTAAATGCAATTAGAATCCACAAATATATAAAATACATATATTTTTATTTACA